ATAATAAAGTTGAACCATTTCAACTTTGTAAAAACAATCGAGGGACTAAACCAACTCATAAGAAAGTTTATAGACTATTTTGAAGTTTATAGACTATTTTGGCTTTCACAAAATAGACTACGCATTAAATTAGTATTTTGTTCTAGTAATAATTACTAAAGTGTGTATATAAGAGTAATGTTCATGATTAGTAAAATACAATTTCAAGTCCGGCCTCAGATTCGGCTATTCTGAGGATGTGTGCGTGTGTATGTGGACGAGAAAGAATGAGATGCAAAAAAAGACCACAACGGGAACGTGGCACCTCATATGGGGCCAATGTTTTCAGAACCGAACCGGACCGGCTAGTTCGACTGGTTGAACGCGAACCACCCATGTCACTGGTTCGATTTTGTACAAAAGCCGAAGGGTAATGGAAAACGTCTATGAACCAGTAAAACCACTTGAACCGTAAAAAATTGTTCAAACCATAACCCAGCGGTTGTTTAGCCTTGTCAAAAAATGAAACTTCTTAGATGTTGATAATGAGGTTTAATGTTGGGACCTTATGTGTAAGGGCCAAGAGTTATGACTGCTACATCAACGAGTCTTCTTGTTGTTAGGAAACATACAAATTTTATAAGGCTAATAACAAGTAAAGTAAACAAAAAAAGATGATAAAGTCATAACCCTAATTTCATTTTGCTATAGCCATCAAACACTTTTCACTCTTTCCTTCTCCCCCTTCTCTAATTCTCATACGAACTTTTTCTTCTTTCTTTCTCACTGCTAATATCTTTTTCTACTTTTAAAATTTGCATACTCTATACCTTTATAGGAACATAGTTTCTCAATCTCTTTCATCTTGTTTGCAATCTCCATGGATCTATACAAACCAAATGTTGTTCTTGTTGTTTGCATCTACTAATTTCACCATCTAATATGTACAGTCGTTCAAATTCCTTTTCTAATTTTCTGGCTTTCGTGACTAATTGGGTGACTTGGGATTCAACTGCAGATTTGGTTTGGCATATTAGTTGTGTCATTTATCATGTAACAATAACATCAAAGGGTCCAATTTGGCTTGAGAGCAAATGTTGTTCTTCTTGTTTGGCTTTAGAATTAACTCCATGGCTCAAGAGATTGAAGAAGATGTTAAAAAAGATTAGTGGCCAAGAACAAAGGAGCGGAATTCCAACCATGTGTCTAGTTCCTAATATATTCTTAGGTACAATGTAGCATGCAAGTCCTCTCTCTCTCTCTCTCTCTTGATTGGAACTGCAACTCATTAATTGTAACCATGGTGACGATTGGATCTAGATACATTACATGAGCATGATACATCAGATTTATCATCCATGTATTATTTGCAATGTTTCATTTTTTTTGTTTTGTTTTATTTCTTTATTTCTTGTTTATTTATTTACTTTTTATGTTTATGGTGGGTACTTTCTCAGGAAGTTTTGATATTTTAATATACAATTTCATATTATTAAAATTTTTAATTTTAAAATAATTAAAAAATTAAAGAACTGGTGAACCGGCCGATTGAGCTGGTTGAACCAAAAAAATGGGGAACCGATAGTTTGGCTGGTTCACTTGTCGGTCCGAGATTAAAAACACTGCATGGGGCTTGAGGCACTTTGTGCATATGTTGACCAACCAATACTGTAGTGTGCGTGCTTGGGTTGCCCTCACAATCTTTCCCCTTTCTCTTTGCTTGTTTTATGAGCAAAAATTAATACCGCCAATTAATAGCAGTATTTTATTCCTCCTTTCATGGGCACCCCTCATATTTTAACTTGTTAACATGAATGTTATAGTACCTCAAGCAAGCACAGGCAGAAACTATGAGGGGTGCTAATGACGGGAGGAATATGGGGGGTACTGTGGATGATAAATCCATGAGGAATATGAGGAGTGCTAATGACGGGTAGTGACCAAGGACAAAATATGAATGTTATAGTCTGAAGTGATTAGTGTTATTTATTTTGTCAACACTTGTGGGATAATTTCTTTAAGTCTTGGTATATGACTCTATCTTTCCTATTCAGAGCATGTGCATCAAACAAAAAGTATTCTTTGGCTAGGTACAAAAGCCTTCTAGATACCACAAGTATAGTATGTACAAGAAAACTCTCATCAGATGCAAATTTTGTTGGTGTATCTTAATCCGTTTCTACATTACTAACATTGAACACTAAATGCATTATGAGCCATGTTATTTAAGGATTTAAAAATCATATTGTTAGATGATTAATGAAAATTTCCTTTTTACCTTAATGGAGATGATCCTGATTCAATTCAATTATGTCGGCATCAATATATGCAACATTTACCTTCATACTCTTGAAAGCATTGTTTCATTGTATAGGCTTCTAGTTTTGGCTACTTTTTGCGGTTCTCTTGCTCAAAAGTAACCAAGAATTTTCTGCTCTAATTCTGCATTTTGACTTTTGCGAGAAATAAATCCTGATAGAGGTCAATTTATTAAGTGTTGATTTTATAGTCAATTGATTTCTTCGATAGATGTATTATCACTCAAAAGAACGTGTAAGAGTTTATAAAAAGACGAAAAAGAACTCTTGATTTTCTGTCCAGACAACTGGGGAAGTAGGAGCAACTCTTGATCAAATGTACAATAAGACCTCACAAAGCAATGACAATAAACAAATATACAAAAACAAAACATGGAAATAATAGTCTTGCATTTGATTCTCCTTATAAACGCACACACCATATCATCTAGGGGCGGATTTACTCTGGGGCAGTGGAGGCCCCTTAAATTTTTATAATACCTATAAAAATTTGATATAACTTCAAGTGTGCCCTGGAGTTTTGTATATCTATTGGTTTATATACTCTTAAAGTTGCTTTTGGTTTTATCTGTTATTATAGCTATCGTAGTAAGGATTTTTTCAATTATGAATATAGTGAAGAATCGGTTATGAAATAGAATGGAAGACACCTGGATGAATGATTATTTAGTTACTTATATTGAGAAAAATATACTTCGTGAAGTTCAAAATGAAAAGATTGTAAACCGTTATCAAAATATAAAAACTCGTCATGAGCAATTGTAAATGGTTTAGTTTGCTTTTTGAAATAAAATTATTATTACATTAATAATTTTGAATTTGTCTTTTTTTATTTTTCATGGAATATATGCATCATTTGTACTTGTTGGTGAATATCTTTTTTCTTAAAAAATTAAAAAAAGAATAGGTAAAAAATTTTAGAGTTGCTTTTGCCCCCACTAAAAATTTTTTCTGGTTCCACCACTGATTTATCATCGATCATCAAATACGACTGTCATCTCATCCGGAAGGGAGTCCATGGAACCTTTTCCTTCAGCAGGGGCTTTGTTAGAGCTAAATTCACTTGCAATTGAATCCGAATGAGAAGAATGCAATGGCAAACCTACAGCAGTAGGCCTAGAAACTGCAATTTTAATCAGTGGCTCATCAGGGTTCATGAAGATTTGAACCACTTTCCTCATTCTAGGCCTATGCCTTCTGTCTGGATGCATACATGCCAGTCCAACTAGTATACTCCTCCTTACTTCTTCTTCGTCGAATTTGCCTTCAAGAGTTGGATCCACACATGTAAATAATTCGTTCTTTTCGTGTGTAGTCCAGACGTGATCCACAAGACTGTTTTCTTCCATCATACCTCTTGATCGTCGTCCACAAACAAGTTCAAGAACCACCATGCCAAAGCTGTAGACATCAGACTCTAGTGTAGCTCTTCCAGTGTAGCTGACTTCTGGAGCCAAGTATCCTGGAGTTCCTGCAACCATTGTGTTCACGAAATTATCATTTTGAAGTAGTCTTGCGAGGCCAAAATCGCCTAGATGAGCGTTGAATTCTGAATCCAGCATCACATTGTTAGGCTTCACATCGCGATGAACAACAGGATTGCCACATTCTTCGTGGAGATAAAGCAATGCAGATGCCAATCCCGATAGGATTCTGTACCTAATTTTCCAGCCAAGAGACACCTTTCCAATGTAGCGGTCGAGGCTAACATTGGGCATGTATTCGTGGACTAGGAAGAGCTGGTCTTTGTCATGACACCAATCTTGGAGTTGGACTAGATTTTTGTGCCTTAGGCGGCCAATTGTACATCTCTGCCAAGTATTCCCTTTCACCTGAAACAAATAAATGAAAAGACTTGTTCAATCCATCTGAAGCTGATCAACAGTTTGCTTTAGAATGAACAAGTGTGTCTATTCATCCAAATAATTTCAGTTCTAGCTAGTTTCGCTGCACATGAACTTATCTATCATGCATACAAATTTGGGTACTATATACTATATCCAAGCAAGCACAGGCAGAAACTATGCAGGACTTGTAATTAATCAGTTTCATGGGCAGGGTTTGTAGTGACTTGTATGCATCAATGTAAAATTTTCTGAAAACATTACAGAAACAAGATTTACTTTCAAAAGGGACTTTTTTTTTAATTTTCAATAGAAAAAGTGAAAATTGAAATTCTTCTTGTATTTGAAGCTCTATCTTGGCATGCAAGTGTAAAGATTTTATACTAAATTATGAAATTCTCCAATGGAGATGTTTTGAGAACGTTGGAAAATCAATCATGTGTTTGAAAAGGGACTTGTTTTTAACCCCAAAAAAAAAAGCAACAAAAGAATTGACTTCCCAGATAAAATTTTGAATGTTTGAATCTTGGGGACGACTATCCTTTCCATAATTCCTTTCTCTAACGTTCATATACTCTACAAAATAAAAAATAAAAAATCAAGTTCTTAAAAAATGCAAGAGAAGTAAAGAAAAGAACCTTGTCCTGATGTTGCAGTAATTTTCTTGACAGCAATGACCGCAGGAGGATCTGATAATAAAACCCCTTTGTAAACACATCCAAAGCCACCAGCACGGAGCAAATTCTCTTTGTTGAAATGACGAGTAGCCTTAGAGAGCTGCTTGTAGGTAAACAATCTCGGAGCATTGGCTGCATTTCTTGCCAGCATTTCCATGTCACTTTTCTTGCTCTGATGCCTCTCATTTCTCCAAGAAAACCAACGTAGAGACTACCAAAGTCGGAACAACAATCGACAATGCTATCTTAGGTTTGTTTCTTTTAACACCATGCTTCAACAATTTCCTTAACAAGTTATAATACGCGAAGTTCCAACTCAAAATCTGATGAGTTTCGAAGAAATAAGCCGTTGAAGCTGTAAAGCCAACATAAGTTGATTGTGGAACTGTGTCTTCCAGTACTATATTTTGGCTCAGAACATTTATTAAAGGATTGCCCGAATATGCAACAGAAACTTGGAGATCTTTTTCCCATCCATCATAATCGATTTCAACTGTAATCTCTTTTCCACTCCTTAGATAAACACCATTACTGTTTAAACTTTTACTGGCTATAGGATATTGAACGCTGGTTGTCACAATTGCAACATGGTTATTGTCGGGTTCGTGTTCGTTCTTGTATGTGTCTAGCTCGACCGCGAGTTGACGAAGAATTCCACCTGTATATTTGGTAATCAAGAAATCATCATTCATTAGGTGATTAATTTTGTCTAGGATATGACTTCTGGAATGCACCGACTAACAATGATCTTAAACCACGGAGAAAAACCTAGGCATGCATGGTGGAATATTCCATCTGTCATCAAACTTAAAGCAATCTATATCGATCAGAAACTACTTCAATCTTTATTCACTCCCATGGAAACAAAGATAATAAAAAATTTTGAAGTAAAAACCAGCAAGAAAACTAAAAAAAACAGTACTTCAGCATCCCAAAATTCATTTTTTTCTTCAAGAAAGAGTGCTAAATAAGTTTTTGGACAAACTCAATCACTAATTTTAAGAGAAGAAGTAAATGAATATATCTCTCTCTTTATACAGGTGATACTATTTTCCATTGGTACTGTTGAATTTTATCATTGTTTGCGGACAGTTGGACAAGCAAATATTCGATAAAAACAGACACAAAAGACATATCATGCATCAATATTTGCCAGGAAACTCATGTGAAAAGTAACATGGCTGCTGGAGATTTATATCCAGAACATACAAATATAGACAAAACAATGAAGACATACAGAACAAAACCGGAGATGTACTTTGTACAATCCCCAGAAAAAAATACAGTTTGGAGCATAGATGAGCGATATTCATGAGTTTACCTTCGGTGGAAGGATCAAGAATTCCAATATACGACCCAAAGCTCTCATGCGGTGAAAGCTTATCATCCTGTGCGATAACAAATGCAATCCCATCACCAGAAATGGTTAAATTTGTGAGGATTCTTAAAACGAACGTGGTGGAAAATGAGGCCGGCCATGCAGTTACAGGATATCTAAACAGGACTCGTGCAATCTGGTTCTTCTGTTGCTGATTCTGCTGTGACTCATCGGGGTTGAGGTTCAATGTCCCATTTGTTGCAGTTACTGATCCCAAGCAGATTAATCTGCTCTCACTGTCGTCACAGATTCCAGGATTAAACGACTGGAAAGAGAAATTAAACGATTGTACAAGGAAGAAAGATTGTTGATGAAGCAAGATTATTCCCAGAATTAGTAGCTTTAACATGCTTGTCAAGGATTGAAACTTCGACATTACTGACGAAGCCTGGCCTTTTTATTAATGCATAGATAATGGTATGTTACCTGGCTTTCTAATCCTACGGTGAATGTTTATGGTAGATGTTTACAAAGTTTTACTACTATTCAAATAGGCAAGTGTTAGTGAAGACAAATTTTGATACAATGTTTGTTTTTACTATAAATTCTTGTATTTGTTTTTGCTCTAATTAGATAATCTAGGCCTGTTGAATATCAACTGAGTTTTGAGAATAACGTGGGATCCCACGTCTTGTTTTTATTTTGACTTTGTATTAACATAAGACAAGCATAGATGGTCATATATACAGTATAAGAATCGGAAATTTCCAGCTTTGGTTCTTTGCTTTCTTGTTGGTTTCAACATCTTTAGGTGTGCTGTTTCTCTCTCTCTAAAGCTTAAGATTTATTTGAGTTGTTCAAGGTGATCAAAAATTATGTTTCAATTTGACTTGCACAATCTAAATCTTTAGCACTTGAGCTTGAATCAAGCTTGGGTGATCTAATTGTAGAGTTCAAGTCTAATACTTATGCTTACCAAGCGAGTTTAAAAAGTTGCCCTGCACGAGATTTTATTTGCTGGTTTTGATTAGGTGATGGACTAATTCCAAATGAATTTATTGCCAACCAAGCTAATTTATGTTTTGTATCTTACTAAGTGGCTGAGATGATAGCCAGCTGCAAACAGGAATTCTAAGTCCTGCTTTCCTCGACAGCAAATAAGATGTCAAGGCTTCTACATCAAGGCCTGATTTTGGAAGGGCTAAATCCGACATTGTCTTCTATTAATTTGCTCTCATATGATTATTCTTATCAAAATTTTGTGTTTAGGCTTTGTGTCGTTATATAATGCTACCCTGTAAATATTAAGGTGTTTAACGACTTGACTTATTGACCCCCTAAAAATTAGGTTTTTTGAATGAGTGGACCTGTCTTCCGATCCAACTCCAAGATCACAGAGTTACTTAACAGTAATGAGTATGGTATTAATCGATCTATACATAATTCAATTGCGTCCCATGCACGACCTAAAAAGGGTTCCGTTACCATGCAAGAAAATTACGTTAATTTTCTCTATCAATTAAACCCACCATGCAGGTTCGCAACTTGAACAATTATCCAAAGTAGAAAATTTAGTCTCAAGCTGATCGGCAAAGTAATTTTGTGCTTAAAGCTGAAGATGCTTAGCTGTATATGTAGGATAAACTTAATTACTTGAAACCAATGTAATGCTAATGAACATTTTTTCATGCCTAAGGTAATTATCCTAGTACTTGGATTTGGCTAAAAGTCTTATTGTCTTTTCCTTTCAAAAAAGCATCAATTTCTGGCTACGGTCCCGAGATGCAGATGGAATTCAAGTAGAAATTCAATAAGAAAAGATAGGGCTGGTTTAAGCACGCACCTCAACAAGCTAGCGCATGGTGCGATGCTCGGGTTGTCCTGCTGAATGAAGGAAGCTTTTTCTTAACTGTGGCTGAATTGGGGGTTCCGCAGGATTGATAATGGCATAACCAGAACAAGAATAGGGGAGAAGAAAAAATCAGAACACGCTGAGCAGCACAGAAAAAATCTATACAAAAAAGAAATAGACCATATTTTTTCACCTTATATTTAGTATTTTTTTTATAGATGTAGCTCGAAGAAGAAAATCCTCTTTCGTAAGATGTCAGTTTGATTCATAACAGATTGATAAACTTGTAAGTCATATTTTGTTTATTTGTGTTCCTATGGTACTAATTTAATTGGAGATTGATTCATAAAAGATTGATAAACTTGCGAGAATCATGAATGATTAAAGAAGTACTAGATGAGATACTGCTAAGGGCAATTATACTTAATAATTCATCTCCCTATTGTGTTTTATTACGGTAATTTCATGCGGGGTATAATAAAAGTACAATAGGGTTAAGCATTATAGCATTAATCAAGCATCATTTCTAATCGCGGCGTTCAAATTTTCGCGCCCAGACATGTTTTCCATTGATCTTGAACTTGGCAATTGGTCCTTTGCCAAGAACACGATCAATGGTTTTAATGTTACGAACCACCAGACGAGCATACAAGGATTGATCAGGTGAATCAGGTGATGGCTCCATGCTGACGCTTTCCACACAGTTATCTCCATAGTAAGAAGCAAAGAGTTCTCTAACTTCAGTTTCTGTGACAGGATAGCCTCGCGAAAATGTTAAGAAAATAGTCCTATCGTCTTCCGGCGCCTCGATGTTCAAGCCCCAGCCCCATATGCCTTCGCAGGGGAAAACATAATCAGGGGCCCTAGGAATGATGGCTAGTGATCCAAAGGTGGGGTGAGGGAATCCAGGGATGATAAGAGGATAATTAAAGTTTGCTTGCGAAGGGTAGAATTGCGCTAAGATGTCTGCGAAAGCATTTGCACAAACATGGTTGAGAAAGGCCTTTATCCCACATATCATGGTGAACTTATTTTCATAAAACAGTCTTAGGGAGAGCCTTTTTTCCACAATCATAGACGTGAGAGGAAGTTCTCTGCTGCGATTGCGAAGCGCAGGGGGTGTCCCGAGTTCGAGACAGTTCAAGCATTGGACAGCTTCCTCGGCTACATCATTCAGAGTAGGATTGGATAATCTGGTAAGTTTCCTCGTAATGCAAGAGCCAAAGTTCATATCTTCAAGACACAGCCAAAAGGCCATGACCAAGAGAGATTGTGCTGGATCTCTAGTGAGGAACATCACCAGCCGGGTGAAAATTCTTCTGTCAATGGAGTAAAAGGTGTACACATCACTGAGAGTAGGTGCAGTCGTTGCCATTCTTCCTTTTTTTTTTTTTTGTGCTAATAATAATGTCTCTGTGGTTGGGGCTCTGATCTATAGTACTGAGAAGCACACATTTTATAGGATGAGCAGAAGATGTCCTGAGTTAATTATTACATTCGGTTGTAATGAAGTCACTCCTATCTGTATTCAATTCACAATCTGCAGTGGTTTTTAAAGCAATCCCCAATATGTGAATCCCCTATATATATATCTTCTGTTTTACAAACTCAAAACAATATCTTATGGACCAACTTTATTAAGTACTAATTTTCTTGATAACCTGCCATAATGAGAATAGACTTAAATCTTGCAGCATTTTGTCTTTCCACTAATTGGATAGCTTAGGTGGTGCTTTTTTCATGAAAAATGATAGAAACTCCCCCTTTTTCTTAGAAAACAAAAAAAAAATGGACAGTGCTAAATATGAAGATTGTTAGTTATTAAGTCTACTAAGAATGTTGTCGGTGCTACATGCAATGCAATTCCAAGCCATTGTAGCTAAAGATCACCAGGCTCCTTATCTCTTGCTCCTATTCAGCACTAACAAGTTGATTTCATGCTAAATTTTTTTGGATGCTTGCGTATATAATATGCGGTTTAATAACAATATTTCCTATGATACCACTGAATTGATATGTACATACAACAGATATTATCGGTGACATCGGCAGGACAAATATGGATAGAAATTAATTGAATATCAATACGACACCAGAGCATTAATTAGAACATACAAGGAAATTTTGGCTTCAGACAAATTATTTTGGAGTGATGTTATAAATATGCCGTTACTGTTAAATGTAAATAAAATACATCATTGTTTTTAGGGATAATTTCAGAAACCTCAAGGATTTTGGAGTGATGTTATAAATATGCCGTTACTGTTAAATGTAAATAAAATACATTATTGTTTTTAGGGATAATTTCAGAAACCTCCCTTGAGGTTTCTGACAATTTCACTGCCCTCTCTCGAAATTTTGAAAATATCACTTATCTCCCCTATAAGCCATTTGGGGCCAAATGCTTACCTCATGGATGGTTAAATGACTTTACTATCCTTACAACTTTAAAAACATTACGTATTTGTATGGAGAGAAACAATTGAGTCACTTGTACAAAATTAACCATGATTTGAAATATAAAAAATTTTAAAATCTTGAATACTTAAATTTTATAATGATGATTGTTAACATTTTAAAATTCTTTTTCTGTATTTTAGTAGTTCTTGTACTTTCTTTCTCCCTAAAAAAGATTAAAATTCCTATTGAAATATTATTATTTCATAAATATTTCATAAAAATAACAAGATGAATATGAAAAATACACAAAAAAAGAGGGTAAAGTATTAAAATCTGCTTGCAATTAGATTTTATTAAGTTATGTATAAAATTTAATTGCACATAATCTAGTCTTTCCTTTCTATTCCAAAATATTTGGTGTTTCTTTTCTTTTTTTTACACGTAATCCAAACAAGATGGATAGAAAAAAAATTTCTACTTTGATTTATTTGCTTTTCCATTAAAATCATACCCTTTTGATTAATCTAAACATTGTTTTTTAATTACAAATGATTGAAATTTCTTGTTAATCATGTGAAATAATGGACCCGGTAAGTTAAAGAAATAATTAAAAAAGCATAACATATTTTATATTTTTTATCATTAGTCATCTATTGTGATTTTTATTTTTGAAGGGCCATACTTTGTTTTGTTCAATTCCTGTTCAAAATCTTTCAAATTTTGATACTAAGAGTTTAGGAATTTTATGTGTCTTGAATCCAAATTAACAAGTTTTTCTCTCCAATACTTTGATTTTGCGATTTTATGCAGTTCGATGAAAAATAGTCATTGTTACTAATTCTATTATACTCATGCTAGAGTTTAGTATTTATTTTCTATTTTTAAATTAATATTTCCTTTTGATTCTAAATCAACCAACTAGTAGTAATAAGTTAAGGGGTACTTTTGGTACAAAATATTCTTCTCACTCTTGTAATCATTTTTTTATTGTTGATTTTTTTGACTTGGGCTAAATTGTTATAAGAACATTAGTTTTAAGGGAGCTTAGTGATATTTTTAAAACCTGAGGGAAGGACCATGAAAATATCAGAAATCTCAGGGGATGTTTTTGAAATTATTCCTTGTTTTTAAGAGATACAATCAATCCATTGGGCCCTCAATTAATTGGTGTGATGCCTCTAGAGTACAATGAATCAGGGGCCTGTGATTTTTTCTCTAGGACTTGCCATGTAAAGACATGTAACTGATGGACTAAAATCAAGACCTTTCAGATAGGGGGAAGACCTCACTAAGTAAAATATGCAAAATCGAAAAAAGTAATTGATAATAATCGATGTTAAAACAGGTTACTACTTTCCTTGTCAAGATTATTAGTTAGTTGAATGTGAAGTATTATTTTTTATGGTTTTTTAACAGGTGCCCAAATTTTTTTTATAGGTTTTTCTAACGACTATTTATTGGAATTCGTTAACACATTTAAATTTTACCTAACCTATCATATATATACATATACTAATAATTATTACCCTCAATTTCATTTATATACTTTTCTTGTTTAATCTTATCCACCCTCCCTCGTATTTATTTACTTTTTCTAATTATTCTATATTTCTAAAATTATGACACCTGAAATATATCTAAATGAGTGTTCATTGGGCACCCATTTTTATCAATGATGATTTGGAATGAACTTCCAAATATTTGCCCCTTTTTTTTAGGAACAGGAAACAATCTGTCTACATATTTACAAAAATTTCAATAGTTCAAGCTACATTATGATACTGGGTCTTGTGGAAGATGACTGCAATAGCCAACCTGAATCAGCACTTCCTAACATGATAAATATTTCGAACTAATCTCAATGTCAAAGTTGAGAAGGTCCTTATTAATCTCTAAGAGTAACCTGCTCAGGATTTTCAAACGCAAATATGCTTGTATTACTACTGGCTCTAGGAATAAGTGACAAGTGAAATGTTTTGCTTCTGTACATATCATATTGTTCAAACACATTTTAACAAGATATTGCAGTAGAGAGAAAGAATGTCATCAATGGGACAAGACCCAAGAGGTTATTAATCAGCACACGGTTTTAAGTCAGAACTATCCACCATTACATTGATTAGAAGTTAGAACCATAGTCATTAAACACGTCCCGGGAGGAATCCGGAGAAAGGGTAGGTCAACGAGTTACTGGTTCAATTAGGATGAGTGATCTAACATGTGGATCACTAAATGCATTTAAATATTATGTTTCATAATTTTTGATATGGTTAAACCCATAATTAACTATGCCATAGTAAATGCTCAATTAGTCTAATTTATTATAGAATCATTAATTCTTATAAGAATTAACAAAACCTAAATTTAATTAGTAATCCACCCAAGTATAAAATTTTATCTAAGTGTAATTATCTAGTTTATTTATGAATTTTAAGTACAAAAGGTTATTAGGAACAATATTTGCCTTAAAATAAATTGTGTGACATGTTATTTTTTAAATCCATTTCATAATTTATAGAGTTTGGGAAATAATAAAAGTTATTAAAAGATTCCAAATAAATTTTGTTTTGGAGAAATAAAATAAGAATAAAAGTCTAAAATATAATATAAGAAATACTAAACAACTAACAAATAGGTTGTTAGTCAAATGGTGATTGCACTTACTTGTACACATGAGGTCTTAATCACTTTAGCATCTTTTCAAAATTTTTCCCATAACATGTAAATTTGAGTTCCGATTCACCAGATTGACTTGTTAAACTACTGGTCCGTTAACAGGTCAACGGTTTAATTGTATAAACGATCTAGCTCGGCCCAATTGTTGGTTCACTAGGTTGAGCGGTTCAACTCAGTTCAATTGTCGATTCACTGAGTTGATCGATTGAACCGCCTAGCCCTGCTGGGTTTAATAACAATGTTTAGAACATTGGGTGATTTTAGATTTTGATCTTTGTTGGATAAAAATTGAGTGAAATTGCATCAAGAAATTGAAGTCTTCCATTCCCCATTTAGTGAAGCTAATTTCATGTATATACCAGGATTATTACTGAACCAGAGGCCTAATTTGTCACTAGGATCAACCGTCTAACATTTTGAAAAGGATGGAAGAACTCTAGGAACTAGAAGCCACTAAAATGTGATTAATGTTATTAGCAACTTGGCACATGAGGAAGTTATGAAGGAAAGAATAGATGTTCCCACAAGGTTCTATCTCACTTTTTTATAAATATTTGCAATCACTATATGTGTTTTCTACTTTTTAAATTAAGTGGATGTATATAGATGACATGGATAATCCATTTAAATCCACCAACATAATTAGATTTAGATGGTTATCCATTTAAAATCATTAAATTCATATGTATCATCCAAATCCATTTAAGGTTGATTTATATGGATGAATTAGTGGATATGAATCCGTTTTGCTACTTCTACTAAAAAGCTAAAAGACTTTTGGCCTGCGTGACAAGAAAACTCACTCAGTCCTAGTCTAAAGGCTGGAAGATGTGTCAGCTATGACCATGCCAACAGTATAGGAATTTGTTGTGAATTATAACTCAAGGGCATTATAGAAATTTTGACAAAAAGTATAGTCTTTTGGGTTTAGAAAGTTACTTAAATAGTGAAAAGGGAAGGTATGCATAATTTTTAAAACTTGACGGGTGCTTTTTACAAATTATCAAAAAACCTCAAGGGAGGCATGTGAAATTAACCCGAAGACTTTTGGCCAGAAAACTCACTCAGCCCTAGTCTAAAGGCCGAAAGATGTGTCAGCTATGACCATGCCAACAGTATAGGAATTTGTTGTGAATTATAACTTAAGGGCATTATAGAAATTTTGACAAAAAGTATAGCCTTTTGGGTTTAGAATGTTATTTAAATAGTGAAAATAGGGGAGGTGTGCATAATTTTTAGAACTTGAAGGGAGCTTTATGCAAATTATCAAAAACCTCAGGGGAGGCATGTGAAATTAACCCAAAGACTTTTGGCCAGAAAACTCACTCAGCCCTAGTCTAAAGGCCAAAAGATGTGTCAGCTATGGCCATGCCAACAATGGCCTACGCTCCTGTTGCACGTGTCCACCCTACATCGACTTAAACTCCTCTATAAATGCCTCGTTATCTTGCTTCTGTTAATCTCCATCATCAATTACTAATACGTGTTTGTATTAACTGCTTACATTACCTAATTACCTCAGCTCACATTATTAGTACAGTACTGAAAAAAACCATATTAATTGCTGGAGCATGGATAATTCACAAAACGCAAGTTACCAAGCCGGCCAGGCCAAGGGCCAAATGCAGGTGATTATCACGGCACCCGCTTAACTTCAATTCTCTTACCAGTGATATAATTGGTGATTACAAGGAATGGATCAGTCACTTTTGTGTATTATGTTGATTGATTTCAGGAAAAGGGAAGCCAAATGATGGATAAGGCAAGCAATGCAGCTCAATCTGCTAAGGAATCCATGCAGGAGGTTCTTCCTTACTTTTCTGATTATTGTTTTTTTACCATACCAGTTTGCTATTCTCACAACACATACATGCAATATATTTCTTGTTTTCCTTTTTTTTTTAAGAAAAAAAGACAAAAAAAAAAAGGAAGCTTATTACTTGGGGTTATGATAAAATTGTCTGGGGTGTGTCGTATGTATGCAGGCAGGGCAGCAGGCGAAGGCCAAGGTACAAGGAGCAGCCGATGCTGTTAAAAATGTGACGGGGATGAACAAATGAAAAGGGTGCAGTAGCTTCTGCACCTCTGCCTTCATGCACGATTTTACCTCTTGAGCATGTCTCTGCCTGATTTCTAAAATGACAAAATAATATATTTCAGACTTTCCACTTTGTTTGTCAAGAGTATTGATTGTACTCATCCTACTTTGTCATCTATTACTAAAAACCTATTTCACTGTCGAAAGATATAAGATTATGCTCTTACTAAATAATCCTCAATGTGAAAATCATCACTCCGTGACACCATTTGTACCAAAAAGTTGAAGGACTCCATGTTTTTGTTATCATAATCCCATGTTCTTGAATCAGGGTGAATTCTTAGTTTATGATGGAAAAAAAAAAGAATTCTACAACGAGGGCGTTTCCTGGAGGGGTTTCTGTAAATGGGGGTCTTCGCATTTCCAAAATGCGAGCTCAGCTCGCATTTTCAGAATGCGAGCTCACTGAGCTCCCACTACCTACGTGCAAGTTAAATTGGCTACCCAGCACATAGCTCTAATTTAAATTGACTGGTTGGGTTCACTGTTTGGATATGGATCATTCAGATATTACACGCAGAGAGATGACAAAATATCTACAAATGTTGAGTAATCGGTGATTTTCATCTAAAAATATCTACATTCGCATCAATTGTAAAAAGTAAAACACGCAAGATTTAATCGCTAGATATTTGATTTAATTTTTTTCTTTTCCTTTTCAACTACCAAACAAATAACATGCACCTCATAAAAATAACTTATATAATTTTTAATTAGCATTGCGTTATGGAATTTCTAAAATTACAATAAAAAAATTGTAACAGATATTAATGACTATTAATTATTAGATTCTTATAACTAATATTCATCGGTGTCAGCAAATAAATACGATTCATTAATAACAAAGGAAAATTAGAATTTGATAAATAAATTTATTTCACAAAAAAGGATCAAAAGTTAGTATTTTATTCATAAAATATAGTCAACACCTTACATGTTAATAATTTCATTATATTTTTACATTGATCTAATTTATTTCCACCATTTAAATGTATTATAATAAAATAACGTATTTCATAAATTTTTTTTAAGGAATGCGAACGCGCATGCGACATCTTAAAACATTTTGTTTTAATACAAAAATATAAATCTCTGCCTCCAAAAAAAAAAAAGCAAAAAAATTTGCATCTCTGTAATGCGAGAAAGTAAATTCAGACTACTAAAGAATGCATTGAAAGTTTACCTAACACATAATATCTGATGATGGATGTTAACACATAAGATGAAGGAAAAGCGCTGGCACCTCAAATATTAAAACTGGGGACACTCACTAATACCTGCAACTAATAAAGTAATTCAAGACCTGGTGACAGCTGAGAATAGCTTACCAGTCTTTTAGAATGCGAGCTCAACAGAGCTCGCATTTCACGAATGCTTAGGAGAAAGCGCTACACTTCAATATACTTAAAAATCAAAACATTCCATAAACTTCTATATTGCTTATCGGATCGTCATGAATCGTCCCGTTTCACTGATTTCTTATCTCGCTGAATTGACTTAGCTAATATCGGCCGAGTCAATTGGAATCATCTTGAAGACAAGTCCTTCATTGATTCGAATATCGATTTCGTACCAGCAAGCACTATTCTAGTTATATATCGTCCAAGTCATCTCAGAGCCGAGCGATACGGCAAACCATGATTGTAACAGCGCATGTAAATTTGAGTTCCCGATTCACCGGATTGATCTTTTAACATCTTTTCAAAATTTTTCTCATAACATGTAAACCCGAGTTCCCGATTCACCGGATTGACCTGTTAAACAACCGGTCCGTTAACAGGTCAATGGTTTAATTGTATAAACGATCTAATTAACGATCTAGCTCGGCTCAATTGTTGGTTCACCAGGTTGAGCAGTTCAACTCGGCTCAATTGTCGATTCACCGAGTTGACCGGTTGAACCGCCTGGCCATGCCGGGTTTAATAACAATGTTTAGAACATTTGGTGATTTTAGATTTTGATCTTTATTGGATAAAAATTGAGTGAAATTGCATCAAGAAATTGAAGTCTTCCATTCCCCATTTAGTGAAGCTGATTTCATGTATATACCAGGATTATTACTGAACCAGAGGCCTAATTTGTCACTAGGATCAACCGTCTAACATAATGTGGTTAGAGGACATAAATTTTCCTCTCCCTAGTTGAGAGCAGACTTCATAGACGCCGCTCCTAACTTTGCAAAATTGTCTTTTTGCGGCTAATGCAAGTGCGGGCTTGAGGTTGTGTAGGAATCAATGTCTCTCTGCTAATGCAAATTCGGTATTCCACATGGAAAAGAATTACATATAAATAAGTTCGACGAATGCAGAAGCCTGGGGATGTTGAAGAATCATTGAAGTTAATTAGAAAAGGTTTTGAAACCTATAAAAATCAGTTAAAGAGCATACGGAATTTTCCTGAGTGACGATTTGCTATATTAAAATAAAGAAAAATGATCAGAGTTTAGCATATCATTCGTCAAGAATAAAGAAGTGTTTAATCTTGGTCAAATATTCGCATTTCAGAACTCTCAACTCTGCCCAAGTAGTGCTTACAACTCTGCTTGAAAGTTGGACCTAACGTGCTCCTCGTTGACTTGACTTACACGACAACCTAAAAATCCTGAAAATGGTACATTAGAATTTACCTATTTCCCTCTTTCTGAAGGCCATATCAGACTTCGGCGGTATTTCGTGTATATTTTCCCATTGAAAGAAGCCTGACATGGTCTCAAACGAGGCATGGAAGCCCGTATCCGTCCTATAACTAAGCCTAAAGGCCTGAATTCGTACAAGAAAGAGAGCGAGCTTTTGGTCAGAAAGACTGGGACGCCTGAAGGTAGAATTAGTCTGTGGTTCAGTAAGAAGATTGGTTAAGGTTGGGGGGGCAAAAGGAAGAAAATGCATCGCATGTTTCCATTATGTACTTGTTGATGGTCTCATTTCCCCAGAACTGAGGTAGAAATGCTGTCAGAAGATGGAACTATTCATTGCAAAAACTCTGCATTCGGTTTTTTGTCACCTAAGAACACTGAATCAGAGGCTTCCCATCTTTCTATCGGGCTATCCCAATAGAAACAATATTGTTGGGAATACTTTAACCTGTTCAGGTTTAAATTGCATCTCAATACTTGCCAAGCCGCAGAAAACTGGCCTCAGGAGTAACTGACAGCTATGAGTGTGAAGCTTTTTGTCGACATGAGTGTTGAACATAAAATTTCGTTCTAACAAGGTTACTTTCAAGATAATTTGTAGTACGAAACAAGGATGTCCTCTACAGGGCTGAAATGAATAGATTATTAATTAGCATACCAATTTCGTGGAGACTTTCCACCATGACTTGAAGATGATGAAAAGGTACCATCCCAAACCAAGTAATTGCATTGTTATTCTTGAAGTACAAGATGCTTGGGAACCGAGTCCATTGTCAAGTTATTGTAGCTGATTTCAGGTTTTAACTAGTTTTTCACTTGGACCGATCATGTAATGCCATATTGTCAAAGGACACGCATTTGATGAACTATGATCTTCGACTAGGAGAATACTTCAAAATGGGATCGAGAAGAAATGCAAATCGATATTTTTGTCAAAAAGGTTACTTAAGTCAATGTAGAAGTTTAATATGAAGTTAAATTCAGAAAACTATAGAGCAAACAGGTTGATGAAGAGGTTAGGGGAGGTGAGTTACTATTGTAAATCATCACTTTCAAGCACTAATAACATCCCAGAAATTGACAATCTCATTTTTCTTGTTCATTTTTTATTTGATAAACTTGTAATCAAATGAGTTCCCGCATTCCCCGAATAAAAGTGAAGTGAGAACTTTGCAGCACTAGGGGTATTGCCAAAAGATAAAACAAACAATATATGGGAAAAAAAAAGGAGAGCAAAACACTAATTTAGTCCCTTAACTATTTTGCTAAAGCCAAAATAGCCCTTGAACTTTATTTCGAGCCAGTTTAGTCCCTCAACTATTTTAATAAAGTTGAAATAGTCCATGGTTATTATAATGAGTCAATTTAGTCCCATGGTTATTTTACTTAAGCCGGAATAGTCTCTTAACTACACTTACATGGCCAGTTTGGTCCTCGTTTAGATAATTTGCCCAATTTATCAACTTTTTGCACCAGCGACCAAGGACAAAATAGAAAATCCAGTCATAATCCTTATTAAAACTATAGAAAAACAAATATTCTAAAAGAAATTAGCAACAAAACTGAATCATACGGAAAGCACAAAAAAAATTAAGCTTTTCGTTTTTTTTTTTTACTTAAAAGAGTAATCATAATGTTAGCACATTTTGTCCAACTTTTTTGCATACTCCAATTTGTGTAATTTTTCCTTTTCTCCGTTTTATGGATTGAAATGGATTTATGTGATTTTTTTTTCTTTGCATTAGTTCCATTTTTTTACTCCACAAAAAGTTCCATTTTATTTTTGCGCTTTATATGATTCAATTCCGTTATCAATCTCTTGACAAATATTTGTTTTTCTCTTGTTTTAATATGGGTAATTACTAGATTCCTATTCCACCCCTACGCGACGATGTAAAAAGTTGATAAATTAGGCAGATTAAATAAAATAGGACCAAACTGGCCATATAAATATAGTTCAGGGACTATTTTGGTTTGAGTAAAATAGTTGAGAAATTAAATTGGCTCATAATAAAGTTTAAGGGCTATTTCAGATTTGCTAAAATAGTTGCAGGATTAAAATGACTCAAAATAAAGTTTAGGGACTATTTTAACTTTTATAAAATAGTTAGAGGACTAAACTGGTGATTTGCTTAAGAAAAAGTAAAGAAAAGAAATATTCCAGTCAATATGATAAACTAGAAGCTCTAAGACATCCGAGACAAGGATTCAGTACAATTGTGCGATCCCCTCCAGTCGTTGTGCAGGTTTAAATTTTGTGTCTAAATAAATCATAAAGTTGTACTAAATATATGTCAAATATTTTATTCATATGCACCACAATAATATAATATAATTATACATCAAATAATACAAAATATTACAACCACCGGAATACTATCAGACCCAAACCGCACTAGCTTCTCTCCCCAAGACATCGTCATGAAGCTGCGTCAAGCAGGGAACAAGAGGTGAAGTT